ATAATTCATGTTAGAAGGGATGTTATAGTGATAAATACATCAGGTATGAGCTTGTGAGGTTTTACGAGAATGTGTTTATTTTATGCTATACACGTTTTTAATTTAAGCAAACGGAATTACCTTCAACATTATTACTGACAACAATAAATTTTACCCCGTAGCTGAAATGAAGATGATTATGATAAGAATAAATTTAATGTTTTCATAAATAACACTTTCGTTTAAAGTTTCTTATGAAAGAATGAGCGATGTAGTAATTTATTTATATGAATTATAGATAAAAATTACCTTACATACCCCATAACTTCGTGTGCGTTGCTTATTTTATTAACGACTACACCACTTGCCCCCACTTTTCCAATGCAAGAAAACACACATCACTGAACACGTAGTCAGCGGTGGATTATCCATAAGGTAAACTAGGCACGTGCTTATGGGCGGGAGCTTACAAAAGCATGTGGAAGTTTCTATAAGAAGAAAATAATAATAATTACACTATATAACAAAAAAGGAAGTATTTGTGTAACTTAGCTGTTACGTACTTATTTACACAATATAATAAATAAAGTTTTTCTTTAGAGCTTCCGAAGCCATTATTTGACTTCTAACGACAGAATCAGGTAGGTGTTCTATCAAATTCTCTGGTTAGAAGTTGGTATTTATAAAAGGGCATTTTAGCCAAAATTACAAATACACTGAAAAATTATGTGATAGTAAAAATACCTCATCTTTTTGCGTGTGCGTTACATTTCAGACTCCGAAAATAAGAGTTAAAGAAAAAGTCTAGTGGTGTTGGGTATTAATAAAGACTAAGATTAAAGAAGAAATCTCTGAAAAAAAAGAAGAAAAACTTAAAAAAAAATTGTTAAACACCCGGGCGAATTCGGGCCGGGCCCGCTAGTGTTAGATAATCTAATTCCAATCCATCGTATTCCATCATATTCATAGATTGGTGTAGACTCTATGTGCTGTATGTTTGTCGTGATGTCCGTAAGAACTTAATTTAACTTACTGTTTTCCTTCTTCCTTATCTGCAGTCTCCAATTATTCAATTGAAAAGTCAATGTTATACTTAAGGAAAAAAGTTAACCGATTTAACCTCACGTTTCAAAATGGCAAGTAATGCCAGCAGCGATGAAGGCGGCCTTAAAGTTGACCCTAATTTTTGCAATCGAGCAAAATGGAAAACTGCGTGTTTATCACTTTGACTTGAGCTCGCGACCTTGTTATATAATTGTGTCGGCAAAGACATTTCTGATAATAAAGCACGTGTAAGGGTGTGAATCCTCATTAACTAGAGATGTTTATAAGAAGTAAAGTAACCGCATTCCGAAACACAAAAGCTGCAAATGGCGAAAGTTCGTGACGGGACAGAAAGGCATTAGAACCTTGACGCCAAATGGATTTTCGACCTTAAATGGTTTCACACAGCGCAAAAGAATAGAAATAATATATATTGAAAATAAAATGTTATATTATAACTATAATTGTATAAATTTAGTTATGTACTATAAAAAAAATAAAGATATTAAAACGCACGGCTACATAAGTAATTTATTAATTCTTTTAACATGTAAATTAACTCTTTAATTGCCTTCCCAAGCAATAAACTTTAGCTTTTTCTCAACCGTTCCTATTACCACTTAGTTCTTGTAGCACGTCCATTTTAGCTTTGTGTTTAGAATTAGTTGGACTCTGTAATTTCGAGTGTTACTAACGTCTTAACAGTGACCTCATGTCTTATCGTCAAAGTAGGTAAGGAGAAACGGGTATTGGCGATATGCCGTACTCTCCACGAAGAGGAAGGCGTGAGGAATATTCCAGCGGGCCTCACCTGGAGGAGAAGAGAGTCGATCCCCAAGGATTGGCTGCTTCGGCAATTACTGTCAATGACTTTTGTCTACCATGATAAATCTTAACATCACAATTAAATGGTTCTTTAACGCATAAAACGATATTATTAAAAACGGCACCGTTTTAAATTAATACATTTAATAGAATTCAATAGTATTTTCATTTCGAATAACGAATATTATTTATTTCAAGTTATTAAAACAGATAACAAAGGAAACGCGTTTAGGGGATTTGTTTTTATGAAAAGCTTAATAAAAACACAAAGAACAGCAAACCATATTAAATTTCTAACAAAGGACGATGATTATCTTCTTTTTAATAAGGACAAAATTGAGTCTTTGTTTTGGTTAAAAATAGTGTTTATTCTAAATGAAAAAAGGGATTGAATGGATTACAATATTTAAACACATTTGAAAGTTAAATCCTAGACACAAATTTCGTATAAGTTTAAGATACTTTCATTATTTTCTCCATAGTCGGACCAAACAAAAGCTTTGCACGCCAGTCCGTCCTAGCTATGACGGTAGATAATTTAATTGTTAAGCACCTCAGTCCCTTGTAGTAGACCTAGGTTTAAGCCGTTGTTTCATTTCTTTACAAGTTTCTGGCGTATTTTGTACGGTGGTAGGGCCACGCAGCAGCCCCGGTTGTTGCACGAATGGGCAGGCTCGTCCGGGTAAGTAGCACGATCTCACAGAAGACCGTCTGGTGAGTGAAGTAGCCGGAGCCCAATTTCCAAAAAAGGTTGTCAACGCATCTGCAAACCCTCGGGTGTAGTAGATGTCCATGGCTGGCGGTATTGACTTAACATCAGGTGAATCGTCGGCTTGTTTGGCAACTTTTCACATAAAAAAATACCAGCACTATTACTTTATTGCATAATAAACTTTAAAGAAGTGGAGAAGGTCGCAATAGCTTCTGCTGCCGCAGAGATTTGCAGGTTCATCAGGGGAAGTATCAAACCCTTACAGAGTACCGATGTAAAGCATTAAAAATTAATTATACTTCGCCTTGTGAATGTGACCACTTTCATAAATGTCTTCAACGCATCTGAAACATGTGGTTGTGTGTGTGTGTGTTATGAACGTTCATTATCAGTGGTTATAAATTATGAATGTTCATAACTACAATATGATACGATTCGCTTCCGTCTTTTTCAATCTTCTTTATAATTAACTTCATTTTCACTCGTTCTCACTGGAAATTTTCCAAATTTCTATTTCAGCAGGTTTTAAGTTTCAATTTAAATTTCACCGGGACAACGCCAGATATCAGCTACTCGCAGAAAATGTACCAAATTAGTTTATTAAATAAATATGCATGAGTCATCAATTTCATACTCTTATCTTCGGTCCCACGACCGTCATACTTCAACCCAAAGACGCCTTGCTACACATAAAATCTTATCATTTTTAATGTAGCAAGTGAAGCGCACAAACTTTTCTCAGCCTCGAAATATAATAAGTTAAACAAATTTTAAGTCAAATAGCCGAAATTAAAAAACATTGGTGACTTAGGGGCTGATAATGACCACTGAACCATAGATCCAGCTCCATTGAAAAGTTTTCCTTCTAGATTTCTTAACTGCAGACAATCATCGTTACAAATGTCATCATTATCATCATTTCAGCCAGTTTGAGTCCACTGCTGAACTTACCACCCCCCACTGACCACGAAGCACGATCCCGGGCCACCTGCATCCATCGACTTCCCGCACACTTGCACAGAATCACTCTAAATGTCATGAATGGTAACAATAGAAGACGTTATGAACCAAAGAGAATGTAATCACTACGTTTATGTTATGTTTACGTTTTGTTTTCAATAAACGTAGTCATTACATTCTCTTTGGTTATGAAGTTTTACAAGCTTAGTTAAAAATAGATTGTTCATGCCTGATAGTAAATAGATTTTCTCTCATTTAAAGAGGTTTGAATAATTCATATGTCTTAATCTTTTATTATTCTGTGATAGGATGTTACAAATTTAATTTCTTTTTTATTTAATCAGTTTGTTTGAAAAATATATTTTTTTAATTATGGATTTTTTAACGTTTTGTATTTTTTTTACAAATAAAAAAAAATGTATTACGCGATGCGTCTAAATATCATAATGCAATTCAATATGGATTTGACAACTATCAAAACGATTCTGACATGTATCAATAAAAATCATGTTAATTTTTTAAAAATTAATTCGTATTAATTTTAGTATTAAACATATTAATCAGTAGCCGCGATAAAGTTTGCAAGCAAATGCCTTTGTCAGCAAATTTTCGAAGAGGTAAATTGTTTTATAATAAATTCATAAAAAACACATTGAAATAACTTGCATGTATGTAAACACTTAACAGATATTAACATAAAATTGCTATCATCGTCATTAACATCGATCCGGCCTATTTGAAGTCCACTGCTGGACATTGGTCTCCCCAATGATGTTTCATAATATAGATGACGCGTGTTCATACTGCGTGGCGTTTAAAAACTGTACCGCTTTACATTATATGACATATACAGGGTGGCTATTCTAAGTGTATCCATTTTTTTTATTAAATTCTAGACTGAAATGATGTTATATAAAAAATGATAAATATTTAAAATCACTAGTTATTAATTAATTACATTCATTTGAATTTATCTCAAAAAGTGCGTGATTTATGGGGAACTCATTTACTTTACACGCGATCATTCATAACTAACACGCACACAAGTTCGTGCACAGTAAAATTTAGGTACTTATGAATGACTACCGCATTGTCAACATGTTCTGTTTTTTAGGGAACAGAATGGCATTTTTTTAGGAAAAAAGACTGTTTTTAATTTCAATAAACGATTATACTACAGAGTCTGAACCTCCTGTGTAAATTTGGGCACTTCTCAAAAAGTCTCCCTGTATAAGTGAATGCAACATGATTTTGAACGCATGACACGGAAAGAGATAGCAGCCTATAGAATTTGCAATATAATTAGGTACAGCAATTGGTGTAATTTGAGTGCCTCAGTTTCGATGCGCTAGTGTCATATCTACCTCGTATATAATATAATTGGAATAATAGTTCTAAAAAACAAACGTCAGATATTATAGTTTATTTTAGGTATATCAATAATGTGGAATAATCTGCATTAATATATTTTCGTTCAGAAATGCTGACTGCTTTAAAGAACGCGAAGAAAAGCAAAGAAAACGCCGATGGGTCTTCAAACGATGATCAGCGGGAAACAAGTGACAGCCCCGACTCGCCGCCTAAAAGCACATCGTCAATATTAAAGAAACCTGTCACTGCGCAGGCCTTAACATATTAATAAAAAACAACCCAATGCAGAGAACACACCGCACTAATTTCTTTACACGACTAATTGTAACATATTTTATGTGCAATATAGATAAATGTTCTACGAAGTGATAGTGTATTTCACTAAGTCATTCGTTAAACAAAACGTTTTAAAATAAAACATACGCGATTTTAAATTTATCACAGAGCGAAAACAATTCATCGCTACTTTGATTTCTATTTGCACAATGGTTTCAAATGGGTACCTGTTGAAAATGCCGCCATTAATAACAATTTAATATCAACGACGGAAAAATATCCTACAGTGGACATTATTAGTGAAACATTGATTTACAATGGTTCTAGCAAGCAGTATTAAATTATTTTTGATTGAAATATATCAAAAACAATGCTAAAATTATCGACGGTTATGTCTCTTACAATGTCCCTAGTATGTGTTGTTGTCAACATGAACAAGTACACTCTTTTTAATTAACAAATGTTCAGTAAAACATTACGAGTTCCATAGTATCTATAAAAGTAGAACCTCACGTTGAATTGTAGCGCGGCGTTGTGGCGCCATTTTCGTATTGAACGTTCTTGCAAACATAAGGCCGTAAATACACTACGACCCTTCAATAGAGCCCATTATTTTTTTTATTTAATAAGTGCCACCATCTCTACTCTCTTTCGCGGGAATTCCACACAGATGAAATCTCGTAAACAAAGTACTTCTACCATTTATATTTTTAAAAACTATTTCTGTTAGACACAGTGCCGGCCTGTGTAATTTAAATTTGTTTAATTAATTAATTTAATAATGCCGGCCTGTGTAATTTATGCTAGTGAGGTATTCCATTATAATAGGGATTATATTCAAGTTATCGTTTGGCTAAGATATATTGAATATTGAATATATATGAAAACAAGTATATTACAAATATTGATACTTCATGACGATAAACATATATTAAAACTAGCTGACCCAGCAAACGTTGTTTTGCCATATAAATTAAAAAATGTTTGGGGTGGACCACCCTTAACATTTAGGGGGATGAAAAATAGATGTTGTCCGATTTTCCACCGTAGCCGATATGCACACAAAATTTCACGAAAATCGGTAGAGCCGTTTAGGAGGAGTTCAATTATAAAACCGTGACACCAGAATTTTATATATTAGATATGTTAGTATTATAAAATGTGTATAAAAAAAACGATCTAGGGTATGGAGGAGAAAAAAAAAATTTTAAGTGCAAAGGTCAAAAGGCATGCGGTGCACACGGACGTCGGACATCTACAACTCTTTTGGGGCTGTAGATGTCCAATTGCGGTACTAATTTCTAAGATTTGTTCCTCGGTTACCTCACATCAGATCAAAGGTCTTCTGGTTCCCTTCCATCTTCACACTGGCTTTTTGTGAGACCGTATCACTTCAATGGACGAAGCTGCCCATTCGAGCATCAGTAGAAGCTACTGCGTGGCCATATCACAGTAGAACGATGTATCGAATATATCCTTCGGCATTTCAGAAAGGAGTCCATCTTGGAGACCTAGTATCCTTGTGAGGTTAATACGTCCTTAGAAACGACTATTAAAATAAGACAACGGTAGAGGAGTAGAGCACATCAGGCATCCGCGTGAACTCCGTACATGTAAATAAGTTTTGCATCCTTGACGTTCCATACAAAAATGTACCAAAACATGAAACCCACGAATGTATAATTTTCGTGGAGTTAAAGAAAACTAACTTAACATTTTTCAAAGGCCGCATTGGATATCATTTAAGTGACCTTTTGTAGTATAATTAATCACTTGGTAAGTTTTCTTCAGTGCACATTATGTCTGAAATCTTTTATCACGCCAGTGGGGACAATGCGCAGTATTTCGTTTTCACTTGCGCTTTTGTTTTGGGCTATGGGGCGTGTCTTAGAAGTGACCTTTATTCAATAGGAGAGACGCAGACGGTGCTAATGAATATGTTACAATTAAAACAGAGACAATGTTAAAGAATAATTGTGCATCATCTAATATACTGTGAAAAAACATGTTTGTTTTTATTTTAAGCTGTGGTATATATGTACCAATTTACAACATACTTTTTGTATCAGGTCTTTTAATGGGTTTATTAACTAAATTTATCATGTAATCCTTTGGGATGCTCTCTTGGTGTGAGACAATCTTAACGACTACAAAGACATAATTTATTTCTTCTGTGATCTTGTTTTGTACGAGAAAATTGTAGATTAATTTAGTTTATATTAGTAATTTGAGTATAAAAATTCTACTTTACGCTGGTTTGTTATCATTATTTCAGGTTACATAATGGAAAAGATTGTTAGTAGGAGAAACCAACGTACACAATTATAATCCCACAAATAAAAATGTAATTTTTCTTATCTATCTTTCCATCCAACTCAATTTACAATTATTTGCAATTGACTAACTTAATATACATGAAACTGTTACTTAAATTTGCTATGTACATATAGAATAAAAAAAAACTTTCGCTAATAATTTAATATCATTCTATCGTATTATGAGTATGTATACCGAATCCACCCTTTCCTTTTTGTTAAAAGGAGCATAATCTCGTACTTTCAATATATTATGTGTTCAGGATTTGTAGGTCCTTCAGCTGATAAAACCAAAATATAGGGGTCGGCTTAATAGCATTACGATATCAATTGTTAGCGAAGCGGGCGCTACTAAAATTGAGTGTTGGAATGTTTTAACGTACAACGAATATCTTTCTCATACTAATTTACGAAAAAATTTAACTTTTTCGTTTCTTCTTATTACTTTATAAACTCTTTTGACACAAATTTTTTTTATTTGATTCTTCGCGTAGGAATTAGGATCTTGATACTTTTAACCTTAAAAAACTTTTAAGATTCTCTTGAAAATGACTTAATTTAAGAAAAATCGTCAATTAAATCAAAATCAAAATCAAAATATATTTATTCAAATAGACGCTTGCGCGCTCTTATGAATCGTCAAATTTTACATCAAAGATTATGTGTATAGGTTCGTAAGGTACCACCGGTTCGGAAAGCGGTTTCTGTTGAGAAGAGGCCGGCAAGAAACTCAACAGTTGCTCTTTTTCAAAAATATCAGGGTACAATATAATATACAGGTATAATAGTCTTATTCTAGCCTACGTGAGTATCAACAGTATTAACTCCACACATTGGCGTCGTCGAGATATTCCGAAATGGTATAATATGCTTTAATCATCAGTTGATTTTTAATTTTACATTTAAATTGGTCAAGCGGCAGACTTAATATCGACTGTGGGATTTTATTATACATGCGTACACTTTGCCCCATGAACGACTTATTTACTTTTTGTAGACGAAACAATGGCGTAGTAAGTTTGTCCTTATTTCTAGTGTTTATTTTATGTCTGTCACTATTCTTTAGGTAATAATTAAGGTTATGACGTATATACAAAACATTACAATAAATGTATTGAGAAGCAACAGTGAGTATATTAACCTCTTTGAAAAGATCTCTGAGTGAATTCCGGGCTCCGATATTGTAGATTGCTCGGACAGCTCTTTTTTGAAGAATAAATATAGTATTTATATCTGATGCACTACCCCACAACAAAATGCCGTACGACAAGATGCTGTGAAAATAACTAAAGTAAACAAGTCTGGCAGTGTCGATGTCTGTTAGCTGCCTAACCCTTCTAATCGCAAAAACCGCGGAGCTCAGCCTATTCGCAAGAGATGATATATGGGGACTCCACTGGAGCTTTGAATCTACTGTAATTCCCAGAAATACAGCAGACTCAACTGGATTAATGGGTACGTTATTTAATATTAAACTAAAACTTTTCCTTCTTATACTGGGAAGGGTAAAAAGAATACATCTGGTTTTTTTGGCATTTAATACCATATTATTAATAGTAAACCAGTGGAGGATATGTGAAAGCGCACTATTCACGTCGTCATAATTTAATACGTTTCGGTCAACTTTAAAAATAAGCGATGTATCGTCAGCAAACAGTACAACATCACACAACCCACTGGCATAAAAGGGGAGATCATTAATATATACTAAAAATAATAATGGGCCCAAGATTGATCCTTGTGGGACTCCCATTTTCATCTGGGACCCAGTGGAATTAACATCATTTATAGATACTTTTTGAATTCTATTACTAAGGTAAGAGGCAATGAGATTGAGGGCGATCCCACGAATGCCATAATATTCTAGCTTTTGAAGAATAGTTTTATGGTCTACGCAGTCGAAGGCTTTTGAAAGGTCACAAAAGACACCTATTGCATCTTGTGCAATTTCATCTCCAAAACATTTAAAAGCAGTTAGTCTTATTATGTTTCTTTCCGGTTTACCCTGGATCATTCAAAATTAGCTCTGATTACGCCGAATCTATTTAAAAAAATTATTTGATTTTCGTCAAAACAATATCGATTCTCTATCTAATAAAACAAAATTAAGCCTCAATTCTAGATATATGAAATTTTCATTCATTCTTAAATGCAGTAAAAATTAACTGTGAATGGAAATAACTACAGTTTTTATAAAAGAGTATCAATATAAAAGTATTGAAAAATAAAAAAGGCAAAACTAATTTGACGTACGTACGTAAACAGAGATTATTTTACAGTTTTATAGAATCGTGGTATATGTAAATTTGTTTAGATATTCTATATATAGAACTGTATATATTAAAAGATTTATCATTCTCGTCATCATATCATCACAAAAGCGGAGCAAAAATAAACAACCACAAGTTATTCTTAGTAATTTGAAACCATTTGTTTCTTTATCATTATTGTGTAATTGGCGATATCATATGGACCGCCAACAGCCTTAGAAGAAGAAGAAGAAGTATTGTTTCTGTTTATTTACAATAATATTAGAAATGGATGCAGCTTTTGACTTGCCAAAAAAACGCCAGCTACCAAAGCTTATGGCGTGTATGACTAAAAACAGCATTGAAAATTTTAGAAGCAAGGCTCTTTTTGGTCTGGACACACTAGATGAAAAAGGAATAAGAAGGCAAGTTATAATTTAAACATTAATTATGTTAATTGTTTTATTGGTTTTAACATTACGTATTAAAATTTTTACCTTTTTGCCATTTTCACATTTATTGTATAATCTAATTTTTGTATACTTTTTACTTTAATTGAAAGGACATTAACGTTACAATTAATATAAATAATAAAATACAATTAATATAACGATAGAGAAAAATCACTAATAAATTAATCTACAAGCAGAATTCTCCGGCCGCTTATAGTTTTCGAGAAAAAATATTTAAAACTTATTTTCACTAAAAAAGTCCGCCATTTTATTAATTATCATAATTGACTTAAAAAACTCAATGCACAGTTCTGCCAACATGATAAAGATATAAATAGCGGACGTGTATGATATACATATTATCATTCACATCGGTCATTTTGATTGCAGACGTAAACTTCCTTTGCACGAGTGTCTAATTTTAGAATTGAAAGAAGCAGGATTTTTTGAATCATCAGACTATCTGCGGGACCTCGTATACGACAACGTACAGATTCTAGCCGAAGATGAGATTGGAATTGTAATAGATATAAGGGAAAGAGAAGACTATTTGGAACACGTTAGTGCTGGCCTGCAAAGAGCTGAACGGGAGCGAGACAAAGGTATTTTTATCATTTAAATTTGAGAAAACATTTTGAATATTTTAATAGTTTTATATCCTCAAAATGCCGAATTCATAATTAGTGACGTTAGCGTCTAATATCTTGTTGTAGATAACAAGAAGAAAGAAGCCATCGAGTTATTAAAACTCGCTCGGCATTATGCAGAGAAAGGCAAAGGCATTCTATGGTTGGCAGAAAAATTTTTCTTAGCAGCTATTGCTGTGTCTAGTCATTATTTAGTAGACGGTGGAAGGCAAAAAGCTTGCTGCAAATATCACTACGCTTCGTTTCTTCTCAGTAAATGTGAGAACTAAATACGCTTGAAAGGCATTTTATAACTTTCAAACTTATTCGTTTTAAAAGAGATTCCAACTTCGGTATTTATACTACCAATGATACACCCAATTTTTTTTATGTATCATTGTTAGTATATATACGGTATTCTAAAAAAAATATGAAATTACATTATAACGTACGCCACGACCATAATGTGATAAAAGAATAATTTATTAGTTTAATCATTAAAATGTTTATTTATTGAGAAAATATGTCAGTTCCAGAACTAGATACGGATGAACCATTCGAAATATTTACAGATGTTCGAGACAGTTCTATTGGAAAGGTACGAAACCTATTTATATAAATGTCAATACAATACTCTCCTTTCTCGACGAAAACTTTTTACATACAAAGAATAAAGTTATTGGCTACGTCATTATAAAAGATCCAGTGTATTAGTCGGTAAATGAAAAAGTGATTTGTTTCCTTCAATTTAAAACCTTTACATATTCTTTCATCAAGGCTGGTTTAGAAACCGGCAAAAAAACGGTACAGCAGCAATAAGGAACTGAAATTCTTTTTATATTTCTTTTTTTCAAAGAAGAAAATAAATAGAAAAAATAAAGTAGGATACATTTAAACTGTCATCAGTCAAGGACTTGTGATTGCAGTGAACAATGTAACTTCCATGCGTCTTGTTTCTCGGTGTCCTTTTAGACCTTAGTAAACGTTTACAGTGTCAATTTGAATTCATTATTAAATTGAAATTTATTCGAAAAAATTTGATGATATTTGTGAAACGACTCAAAATACGGACAGAAATTACAATTACTTGTTTTTGTTAGTATGTAATATGTTAATATTTTTTCTTACATATTATGGCATGTATGTTCATCAATATTACTTTCACATGGCTTCCCGTGCTTGATGTTTGACGCTGGATTCTGCAACGTTTTACCTGTTCCGAGCCATGTTAATTGCTCAAATACATTTGCTGACTGTAAACACATCCTTCCTAGGACTGGCCGCTTTTCGAGGATGACAGCGATGCTATAGAGGGTGTCCCAAACTCCGTGTTTGTGGCAACAGTGTTAAAACTGCACAAAGTTATGCTCAACAAAGCAAGGTCTGTGCGAAACAAAGACCCAGCTAAAGCCGAAAGGCTTTCACGCTTGGCCGAACGTAGAGCAAAAGATGGTAATTATGAATGAAAGCTTTATTGCTTTTCCTCCCAAAATCTTATACAAACGTGTACAGTATGTGGGACACGTTTAGGTTCAAATGCGATGCATTGTTTGATGCCATGTTTTTAGGTTGTCGATTGTATAGATTTTCAAAAACCACCATCTGTATACGGCGACATGCTTGACATCCGCCCCGGTAGCTTTCTTGCCTCATGGATGTGGGCTTAATACTGGCGACAAGAGAATTTTTGATTGTCATTGACAGAGCTCAACTTTAGGTGTTGATAATATTATCAAGGTTAACAACCTAATAGAAATATATCCCGATTTAAAAAAAAGGATTAAACGTTATGGCGTAAAAAATATTTATTCGAACTTACTGAGAGATAAGCTTGACTGATAAATAAACAACAGAAGCAGGACAGTACTGATGGTTTTTTGTTGACGTCTGACGTAATGAATTAAGACAAATTTCTACTTTTTTTTTCTAAAAAAATAGGGAATACCTATGTAGTTTTATTATTTATATACAAGATTATTTGTATATACATTTGTAAGTATATATTAATTTTATATATAATTTTAAATATGCAATCAGTTAAATTTGAGGTATTAAATGGATGTAATTTTCAGCTCACTCTTTAGTCGATTTTCCATTGTCCGATATCCGATAAGGGACTTAGTTACAATTAGCTTCTTCTGCGCAGGGATTCTAATTACTTGTTTTGATTATTAAAACTACCGTGAGAATAGACAAAATAATGCGCTTTATGTCTATTCTACGGTTATATCTTATCCTCTAATATTCGGAATCTCGGAAACGGCTCCAGCGATTTTCATGAAATTTGGTATGTGCGTAGATTCGGGGGCGAAAATTCGATCTAGCTAGGTTTCATTTTTAGAAAATGTCCTTTTATCCCTGTTTTCAGGAAAAGAAAAATATCATTCGAATTTGAATGTATAAAAGAAAAAAAAAATAGCTCGGTCGGTAATCGGGCGGCCCCAAAACAGACGGCCGTGGTTCGTGTCATGATCATTTACACACTTTTTTTTCGATTCCAGATCATCGCTTTCTTTATTTTTATTTTTGGTTGATCTAGATGATTTTGTTATTTTTTTCCCTTTTTTTTTAAAGTTGTTTCTTTTGTGAAAAACACCACTTCATATTTTCTTATTATTAGGTCGGTAAGATCGAAAAATATAATGCATATTTCATTACTCAGTAATTTGTATCTATGTAATTTCCAAAATACGTGTTACAAAAAAAAAATACCAATCAAAGCTCGGTCCTCCAGGTACTCTAGATATTAAACAACAAACTGTTTCTGAGAAATATATCGAATAAGGTCATTCGATTGACGTCATAATTGAAATGTTACTGGAAATTTGACATTTGTTGGACATTTAAATTTCTTTCGTTCATTCCTCTTAAAGTTCGAATGATAATTCAAGATCAATTGCAGCTGGAGACGTCCCAAGAATAGCCGAAGCCGTTGTAGAGATTGGTATCAGTCAATTAGCAATGAATAATTTGAATAATGCACAAAAATCTTTTGAGAAGGCGTATAAGATTTATGCAAGCAACGACGACGTTAATGGTCTATGCGAAACGAAAATGCATCTAGCCGCCGTCATGCAAAGGTGAAATCCGTCTCTTCTATTATTAAATTGTTTTCCAGAAAAGAAAACAATTCAATTATACCTTGAGAATTATAGAATGTTTGCATGTATTAAATATGAAGAAATTTGTAGCAAAGACTGATAAATTAAGTATTAGTCAAATAAGTAATACAAGCGATTAATAATTTTCATACTTAACGAAAGATAGCTCTGTTAAAGATTATTATATTCTACACAAAATCAACTGTAATGTTTTTTAAAAGGTTAGGTTTTTGGATAGTCAAAGTTGTCTTCGATACAATGTACATATTCATTTTAAGATACATCTTCTTTTCAAAAAAAGCATATTCATTGTCGGTAAGATCTTTATGGCATTGATATAAAGCATTGTGTGAAGAAGTACTTAATAATTTATTCTCTTTTGTTTTATACACCGTTTGTCATGAAGCTTTTCTCCGATCCCATGCCTAAAGTGTTCGAAATATCAAATTAACGCAATTTGATGTTTTAGTTTTTTTATGTTATACGTCATGGCACAAAAACTGTCATAGCGACGTGTATATTTTAATATCAATACATATTTTTATAAAAACCATAACAATTATTACGCATACCATTGCGCTTACCACCAGAGGGTTGGGATGATGCTGGGCTCTATCGAAGAACCGTTTGGTTAGATCTTTAAAATATTCGTGAATCGTCGGGAGTCTGCAATCGTTGTGCAGGTCGTAGGTGCAATCGTTGCGTTGATACCACTGCGCACCGGTTGCGCGGTGGATGAACTTATTTTGGACTATTTGCAACTTGTCAATGCGAATAGGGTTTGTATGGGCGGAGATCATGCATGCGTAGGTATGACATGTACATGATTGGCCGTACGCAAGTTTTATATAAGAGTAATTTGTGCCTCAAGGGCATTTTACTTTTGACGCCCTTAATAACTACCCGCAGTTTGCGTTCTTAGAACGTACCTTATTTTCACGCAAGTATTTCGTTACATGGCGGAAGTCATCTGTGGTGTCTAGGTATACGCGGATACCCATGTGAGTGTGTTTCGACCGGGTTTACTTATACTTTGGTATAATTAACATTTTAGATAATACTATACTTTAGTATATAATCTAAAATGTTACATTTATGTGTATATGTTATTTTATTTTCCCTCTATAATAATATTTTGTAATTTCTGCATCCCTCGATGCACCTACAATGAGCTTTCAGTACATCTTGGGTTGATTGGTGGAGAATAAGATAATGAGACGCCATCATTTTCTTAATTTTTCCCAAACACGCCAAAAGAAATATGATTTCAAAAATTACGATGTCGCTTCAATAATAATTCGTTCCAGTTACTTATAGGTAGTAAGTCATATGATTGTGTTTATAAAAAACCTTTTTTGTCGCCATTACTAAGCGAAATTATATCGACTCGCCGTCTTTTCCAATTATATTTATACCTAAGGAACGAGTTTTGTTATTTTTTAAATCTTATTTATTTTTTCTTATAAAAAATAAAGCATTTGTTAAGTTTCTCAATAAAATTAAAACGTTGTCTCATTCGTGTGCATAGTTGTAACACCCCTTCACTTCCTTCCAAGGTTATTGTCACCTTTCCCATAACTGAATACATAATTACATCCTTATCTTACTAAATACATAATATTTTAATACATAAAATTTTCTAGTCACAGTGTACATCTGCCACACGCACTATACTTTCGCGTTTATAATATTAGAAAGGTAATATGGTTGTTATGAATAGTCGAGTATATTATTAAAATAATATTAATATATAATAATCTGAGTCTTAGCAGCGCGTGGACGTGGTCAGCTATATTCATTTAATAATATTATTAATTATTAATCTTATATATAAAAATGGATTGCTGTTCGTTAGTCTCGCTAAAACTCGAGAACGCCTGGACCGATTTGGCTAATTTTGGTTTTGAAATATTTGTGGCAGTCCAGGGAAGGTTTAAACGATGAGAAATTATTGAAAAATTGCATGGAAAATCGAAATAGCAACGATTTTACTTTCCCATACAAACTGTTCCTACCTGTCAAACATTTTATGGATGCGTTCCGAAATTATTTTTCTATGTGTTCAGATTCACAAATTCCCTAGAAATAATTTATATGGCAAAACAACGTTTGCCGAGTCAGCTAGTATACTATATATATTACTAGCTTTTCACCCGCGGAAACCTTAATTAAATATATTTTTTTAATTTTCTTTTTTTTTAATAAAAATTATCGTAAGCCCTTTTTAATACCTCCAAGGACATGTGTACACAGTTTCATGATAATTGGTTGAGTAGTTTTGGCGTGAAAGCGTAACAAACGTACATTCACATTAAAATTTATAATATTATATAGCAGGGATACTAGCTGCTGCCCGCGACTACGTCTGCGTAGAATAGGCTGAAGGCGTAACATTCAGACAGAAAGACAGAAATACATAAATATGTATATGAATTATAGCCTATGTCTTATTCTGATGTATAAGCTATATTATTGTAAAGTTTCATTAAAATCCATTCAGTAGTATGTGCGTGAAAGAGTAACAAACATCCATCCATACATACAAACTTTCGCCTTTGTAAGACTAGTAAGGACTAAGTTTCATACAAGCTGCTTTGAATAATATCCAGATTAAGCGAGAACGAGAGAGCGGCGAAGCTGCTGACAGAAATGGGAGCTTTGGCTATGGAGCAAGGTCTTTGTAAGCAGTTAGGCCGCGCTCTACAACTCCTCGGTGAGCTGCATCTAAGGAGGGAGAGGCCGGACCTTGGCACGCAGCATCTGGCAGAGGCGTTCAGCTGTTTCATGGGATACATTGTGCACGGCGTGAGATTAAAATATTTTCGTAATTTAGCCTATGTTATTCGCAATTTAGCCTATGGATATTCGTAATTTAGCCTATTTGTATATATCATTCGGTGGTTTAGTAGTCATCATTTTGCTATTGCAGTCAAGGATTCGACCCACATGCCGTGTCCCAATTACTTTTACCTTTGTATTTCCCATTCCCAAAAACACTAACTCATTCGCGATTGGTGAGTGACCATGAGCTGACCAACCATAGTTATCTTTCGCGGTAGAGAAGAAGGATGAAGCTCAAGTAGAAAAGTTTTTTTTTTCCACCAAATTAATATCGCGTGAGCTCGTTGTGACCATATAAAGGTTTTTCCCACGTCTCTTGCACTTCCATCGATATTTTATTGTTGTAGTGTGTGACAACAGCTTGTGCACGTGAGTGGGTGGGTTTGTCGTGGGAAGTACCAGATGCGACGTGAAAGAAAAATCTCGATAGTTCAGATACTTTTATAATCCATCTGGGTCAACTATTTTAAAATTTGCAACGGATTTCCATCGACATCAGTAGTTATTCCAGGTTACCCACCTTATGCTTTTTCCAACACTTTTACACAGATCACGTTTGAAAGCACGTCGCGCCTTTCGACGTTTCCACGGCAAAAATAAGCTAATGAAATAATAAAAATTCAGACAGAATATTAAAATTTCCTTTAAGCCGTTGTGCACATGAAATTTTATATCACGTTTTCGTAGAAAGAGATGTTGCTTATCCAAATTATGGAGTAGGAAAAAAAATCAATTCCTAATTACACTTATACGTCGTGCAAGCTATAATTTTTTTACCGTCAGTAAATTCGATATTTATGTTAAACGACAATTAGACAAGAGTAAAAACATTAACGTCAGGTTTACGGCGAGTCGCGAATACAAAGTTCATAAGGAAAAAAAATAATACCATTCGGCCCATTCTTATTTCAAAACCATTAATGTTAAAAAATAACTAATGTTTTAGTTTAGATAATTTTAAATGCCAAACAAGAAATGATAAGAAAAACAAGACATAATCAACGTTGCGATCGCTACATTTTGAACACAGAATCAAATCCATCTAAAACACGAGTATAATAGGCTCATACTGCAAATTGACAACCAACATTGCTTTTTTCTGTGTCGATAAAAACCTCCGTACAATAGAATAGCCCAGTAATCTTAGTTCAAGAATTATAGATGCAAATTATAGATATATTTGTCGTAAATAGATCGTTCGAACTAATAGAACATTTGTCATTTTACAAAACACAGATTCACATTTCTTTCCACAATTAACAGATTAAGACTTTTTACTTTCTAGGAAGATAAGCCACAAATTCCAGCTGTTGGACGTAAAGATTTCGAGCCTGATTTAGATGTCATATACAAGATTGAAAACACGAAAGTATATGTTGAAGAAGCTGAACAATCTAGAATTATGATGGCAATTTCTGCAGGTGTTGAACAGTAATAGTCCACCATGTTTTCGAATAGACGACTCTGCGTATAAAATTATTTTTATCATTTATTTCCGTATTGTGATTGAGTGATTTCTGAATATATTGATCACTTTCTTTTTTTCTTAACAATTTATAACAGTCATTGATTTACCCGAAAGTATAGTTATTTAAATTGACTCAGATTATATTGAATTATATTGAAGTAGCTTGTAATATTATCTGATGGACGTTTTTACATATCGTTAATATATAAATTTATATTCACTGGGAAGAATATTATACGATATAAAAAAAAATATGAGGAACTTTAATACAAATTATGACGATAAATGAATTGACATGTCAATATAAATTTTATAAATATATAAACAATTACCTCGATTCACGATAGTTTTCATATCAAGAATGTGTCAATGTTTATGACTTAATACAAAAATGTTATTAGCTTTTGCCAGAAACACGAATTATTCCAATTTAGGAAAAAAAACAATTCAATTTTTTTGTTCTAACAGGTAAAACATGTTATGTGCAAATTAAAAGAACTTCATTATAGAAGCGCTGAGTATTAATTAAAGATTAAAGATTAACATGTTTTTTGCGAATATTTGTTTTGTTCTAAGAAATAACCTAGAATCTTCCGTTTACTTGAAAAACTTTGATATATATTCAATGTCACTGTTAATATTATGCAAGTTTTAATATAATATATCGTTGATATTCAACACCAATATTCAAATTAATCGTAACAGTTTCCATGAATTTGCAGGTCAAGAACTAATGGCATCATATTTTAAATTAATAGAAACGGCAAGTGCGTGTTTCGTAGCGAAAGTACAGCTGATAGAATGGAAGTTGGCGAAGTCTGGATGGTGGATAGAGAAAGAACACCATCGTTTCATTCCGTGCTTATGTCCTGTCCACAATCGGACACCTTTGGATGTATTATGGTACGCCTGGAAGCGAAAGCTCGATGAAATGTGAAACTGATGAATATTTATAAAGTATTGATATCATTTTTTTTTTCACCTAGGCTTAGAATGGCCCCAACTAATGATACAAATGTCGTCGAGGAGGAAGAAAGCAACCCTGAAAAAGTCCCATCGCTTAACAGGGAAGCTACTGTGGACGATATGAGGAAACTTAGAAGCAGTTTCGTCCAACAGAAATGATGTTTGTATTGGAAAATTGTGTTTCGGTAAGAACTATTTATCACCATATCGTAAAGCCCCAATCCGTACAGACTTTTTTTATTTCCTGTATTTACGGTGTGTTACAAAACTACCCGTAAAGCCGAAAGGAGGTTAAATGGGGCCTTATAACGAGTCCATTCACAATATTTAAGAACCGTATTAACGCTGTATAACATACCCCATAAAAATTAAAAAACATTATTTTCATTGATGTGCAAACACTATTTAAGTTACATTAAAGAGTAAACTACTCAGAATGTACCTAAATTTCTACCTAATTCGCGGAGCGACGACTCGGTGGAATGTAATCCTCTTGACATGTTCAGAAAACACTGGTACGTAGGTAGCCGTCGCTGTTCAGTGGGTTTAACATCGAAGCAATTGCTTCAAACGCTAAGAAACAATGTATATAAAAGACGTTAAGATTTTCGTTGGTGTGAAATTTTAATGTTTAATAACTATAAAAGTAGACAATTATTAGGTAAACTAGATACGAGGGCCTTTCTATTAAATAATCTGGTTCCCTGGCCTGACAGCTTACTAGGGTTGATAAAATTTTTGACTTTGATAATTAATTGTATTTTTACGGGGTATTTTGTAACACATTGTATATGATCAAGTTTATTTGATCAAGCACAAGATATAAAAATGATCGATCTAAATCAACCTGTCATGTCGATCAAAATATCGTATGCTTGACTCATTGATGTTTGTATTTTATGTGAAAGGGGTCGAGTTAGCCGAAAGACCACTGCAACCTAAAGGATCTTTTAGTAATAGTCTTCCCTACAGAAAAAAATGAACCTGTGTTGTAAGGATGTTTTACATACATAAATTTCACGAGGACAGACACCAAGATCACGAAAAAATTACATGTGGGTCACACAGACAGTCGTCTCGTTTGGGAATTGAACCCACGACATCTGGCTTCAAAGCCAGGATCTTGGCAACTGCGTCACAGAGTCATCTCAAGTCATGTATTCTTAGAATTTTATTTTGCACTGTATTGCTGTAAATATGAAACAATAAAAGATTAATTTTCAAATGATTTATTCTTTAATAACATAAATCAAATGAGGATAATTAACTATTTACAGAATGTTCATAACCATAAAAACATGGAGCAAAATATTTTTTTTACACCATCATCGCAACCCTTGTGTGTAAGTTCTACCACCATTATTATCATCTCCTACAATTAAAAATAATTTAGTCAGTTCTGGTATCACATGCACTAATAACACTAAAACTGTATAATGTGCCATTTCGTCTTAGATATGGGAAAAGTGCATTATTTATATAAAGGTTTTGTTTATAATTAGGCTTTGGCCATCCGTTTGCGCGGCTCCAAACGAACTTTGAATCCTTCGGATCGCTTCAAAATTATGTCCGCTTGCAGTTTGAAATCGGATTCTTTGAGGTCGGATACGATACGGAAGTTCCTGAGGATCGTGGACAGGATAATCTTCAGTTTCAGCATGGCGTATTTTCGGCCTGAAATTAAAATTTTGGTTGAAAACTGTTTGAACATAATTTTCAATGGGGAGAGTGAAAACGAAAGGTTTCCTTACCGACGCAACTTCTAGGTCCAGCTGAGAAAGGCACGAAAGCGTAGTAGTGACGATTAGCCGAACGCTCGGGCAGGAAGTTGTCGGGGTCAAACTGGTCTGGGTTTGGATATACGTCCGGTCGACGGTGTAGTTTGTACGTCGCTATTACAACTGTAGTGCCAGAAGGAACCTTCTTACCACATGACGCTGAAAATAAAGTTACATGGCTGAATATAAAGCTGCGTATAAAATTTGACTCACGACCTAAAACTGTTATGATAAAATGTTGATACAATATGATTAATACTTAATATTTGTAAAAATACAATGGTTCGATGTGAAATTTAAGATGAAAGCAAAAGATTCAATTAATGAAAATTGGTTCATGTGATTTCAAAATATACTCACGCAGAGTAACGTCTTGTTTCAGGTGGCGGGCGATGATCGGCACTGGCGGGAACATTCGGAGCGTCTCCATCAAACACCTCTCCAGGTACTTCATCTCTAAAGTATCTTGGAAAGTTGCTGGACGATCGGAATCACCGAATATTTGATCGAGTTCCTCGACGACCTTATCTTGAATGTCTTGGTGGATTCCCATCATTGAGAGGAAGAAGCTGCTACCAGCAGCAGTTGTGTCGTGACCCTACGCCATAATTACTGTTAATATATATATTTTTTAAACTTTAGAACAATCATAGATGTGTTAATAAACGAATTTTACCTCAAACATAATTGTGTCGACTTGTTCCTTGATCTCCTCGTCAGAGATAACGACACCGCTCTGGGAGCTTTCCAAAAGTAAGTCTAGGAAAGCGAGACGTTTCTTTTGTCCTACATCATCGTCTACGTCCAAATCGTCCTTAAGGCCAGCGGATTGGCCGAACGAAAGACCCTCAACGGAGGTGGTCTTAGAGGAGTTGCCCTTGACTACATCTACGTCACCGACAATTGTTGGCTGTTTACCGGCTTTGAATTCTTCCTTCTTTCTTGAAATTACCTGCAAGATTAGTATTATTAAAAACAGAATAATTGACGTCGAAGGTTATGCTTATGTTCAAATGACTACCGTACCTTTTTAGTTAATCCGTGAATTACGTCAAGAAGTTTGTTTTGCACCTTGGCATACTGAGTGAAGTTGAAGAGCACGTCAGGCCGCAACCAAATCTTTGTATGTCTCAAGTGAAGAATGTCGCACATTTTCATGACTGCCATTGCATATTCGAAACCACTCTGATCTTGAGTACTTTTGCTGACACCCATAGCAGTTTCTGAATAGCAAAATAGAATTATTACAACATATTAAAGTTGACCATTTTCTTAACATTCATTACTGTCACTAGCGCAATCATTGTGTTTATATTAACAAAACTTTATGTTATTTGTTACCCACTGAATCTGACCTTCAAACTATATATGCAGAAGATAACAAACATGTTTTAGGTTCTGAGCGCATATTTTTAAACGAAAATTTAGTTTTAGGTAATTTTAAGGTAGTTTTTTGCTTTAGGTTTAGTATTAGTGTATATAAAGTGTGACATGTTTTGAATTTAAAAGTAGTTTAAGGATTAAAATTAGTTTTTCATTTATAAAAGTTGTTTTGATTGGACAAGTAAAGGTAATAAAAGCTGTTTTTTTACTTTTGGTGTAAAATACAAACTTTGTATATAGTATTTTTAGCTAGAGACCTGGCAAAGGGAGCTTAGCTCTCTCAGAACATCTCTATATAACCGCATGAAAACCTCTCTTGATAAGTTACATAAGCGTTTTACTTATATATATCGTACATGTATGATTACTTCACCATAGTTATATTATACATTTATAACCGTTATGATCCATATTTACAAATAGTAGTGATATTCTATAACTATATTTAAAACAAACATCGGGTTTCGGATAAAACAAAAGCAGTGCACACAGAATTCGTTTGGCGAATACAAAACGGCTTATAGCATCAAAACGACGGGAACGGAATACTAAACTTATGTAGCAGCCATATCGTAAGCCATTGCGGGATACACGTAGTTATTCCTCGACCTGACGATGCACCTATTGACCCCGAAGTAATGGCGGTTGTGTAACGAATGTCCATTATAATGGTCAACAAGTGTTCACACGAAACAATGGCGGGATTAATGGACACGTGCGGTATGTGGGTGGTCGATAAACTGGCAGTAAAGGTTCGATGTGTTTTAACTGTTTCCTGATGTCCCCTGTACTGCGCAATTGTCACTATCGGGTTACGGATCATGACCAACGATACAGTCATTGCCACAAACTGGTTCGCACCAGCGAACATCGTAATTGCCACCGTAATTGCGGACGTGTAATTTATTATTTTGCGCTCGGCTCGCCTTCGTTTGAATTATGTAAATGATTTCAAACGCTTGTTAAAATATATGGAAGCAGTATGCGGACGTTGCCTTGTTTGTTGCAGAAAATGTGATTTTCTCGTGACCGCGAAGAGGTTCCGTATTAATTATCGGCATGACTGAGAATCAGTTACGAATCTAGGCAATTCCATAATGGTGGGACCATAATAATCGTAGATTTATATGGTATTTAACAACACATAATTATATTAGCTATAGTTACGTTTTACTACTTACAGCCACCTGATAGGTTTGAAGCCAATTATTTTTTAATTGAAAACTGGTATGTCGATTGTAAAACTGAATATTATTTTCAAGGTTGTTTTTTACCAAAACAATATTGTCAAGATATCGCAAGCTAAAATTGACAAAAGTAACCGAATATGTCAAAATTGTACAACTCAGTAGAGCGCATTTTCATTACTTACGGTCGATTTCAAAACTATATCTGTAGATTCGGTTACTAGATAGTTATTGAACATTAGCTCCGTTATACTTACGTCAAATCTCCAGTAAACAAATCTACAGATGATAGAATGTTGTAACCAACCATAAGTCAAACATAGCATTATTTTTCACCTTGCACGACACAGATATCTTCACTCTCAAGGCGTAACGCTCAATAACATAACTCGCTGTTCCAGCGAGGGCCAAGCGGCCCGTGTTGTCACAAGCGTGTCTACGTGACAGGGCGGCCAAATGGCTAGCTAAGCGATTTCGCGTGGCCACCGACTTCACGAGATACGAGCGTAGAACTCAGCTCGGGTCGAGCAATCGAAAGTGGTGCTATATTTGTGTTGTTAATTTTTTTTTTATTTTGGCAAATGTTTAAAGACCACGAGGCGGTTGTAAAATTAAGGAAGAAAATACAGTCGAGTTGAGAACCTCCCCTTTCATTGAAGTCGGTATAAGGAACGGGGAACTAATTACGCGTATTTTTACTTTAGAAAAACAAGACGATTAACGTTGTCTTAAAACATCAATTAACAGCCTGTATATGTGTATATATGTAAACCCAACAGCTGGGAAAAGGCCTCCGACCCCACTGCGGATTGGCAGACTTTACATATCTTCCAATGTTTTTTTGTTATTATTCGAATTTATGCAAGTTTCCTTACGATGTTGCCCTTCACCGCTGAGCTCGTGATAAGTCAGCAAATAAAATTTTAATTAAAAGCGAGCGCCTGGACATTGAGCTAATACGAAATTTGATATGTAAAAGAACAAAAATTATAATTATTACAAATTATGCAATTTGATTTAATTGCTTTTAATGGGAAGCTGTTTTTAATGCCTTCTCACTATAATATGTCCTATAGTTTAAAGTGTTTCATAAATAAATTACTTGGCAAATATTTTGGTTGATTTAAAATAAATTCATATTATGCATTTTCGCGGCACATATTTAAAAGAAGGCCAGGTTCAGGGTCCCATAACGTTAAAACACGTGTCGAAGATCGGTCCAAAGGAATTCAAGCCTAAACCGGTGGGTTATATATTTTCACATAAAATTCTTATCAATTAAAGTAAATGTATCAACGGTATGGTGTAATAATAAATCGGCCAAGTGCAAGTCGGGACTCGCGCGCGATGGGTTCCGCACTAATTTTACAGACAGACAGACAGCGGAGACTTAATAATAAATTCCCGTTTTACCTTTCGAGAACAAAAACCTAAAAATCAACATTTTCTATTCACATATTCAGTTTTCTATTCGTTAATTTAAATATTGCCTATGGAAATTTTTAAACATAATAATAACGGTTAATCCAAGGAGTTGAGCCCACAAAAAACGTGTTCAGCAACTGGTATATAATTTATAACACTTAAGAAGGAACGAGGCGTTCATTGGCATTGGTAAAATCATTTAGAAGTATAAGTATAGCTAGGAACGAAGCTAGCTTTTACTCGCGACTTCGCTCGCGTTGAAGCCCTCATATCTTGTTTTAATAAATATAATCCTTTGCCTATTTTAATACCTCTAAGAACATTCATTTATTTATTTAATCTTTATTGCCAACCTTCAGTAAAACAAGGTAACAAAGGCCGCCCTTCGTTAATGCCCAAAAGGATTCTACCAGTAAGCCCAGGATGTGGTGAGAGTTTATGGTAGGTGCAGCAAAAGATGCCAGAATAATAAAATTTTAAATAAAGAGAATATATATGAAAATAACAATATGAAATACATAGAATTTGTGTACAAAGCTTCACGATAATCGGTTGAGTAGCGTAACAAACAAATTTACATTCACATCTATATATATTCACATATATTACGGATATCATTTCTGTCAAAAAGTAATTTTGATTACTACCTTCATGGTGGCGCGGTTATTATTTTTCGTTTGTGCTTAACTACCAAGTTCATTTGCTTATTTAGCTATTACATTTTTTTGTTGCTTAATTGCATTTGGGCGCGTGAGAATAACGCGTGTATCTCGTATAGTTTTTTAGACGGTTCGCAATTATTTGATATTCTTCATAATTACAGTTTATGAAACGGAACTTCAAGGATTTTTTATCCCTGGCGAGTAAATGCCGAAATAAAGATTAAAATTTATTCATGGCCTTTATAAATCAACCCGAAGGCTATTTAGTTAATTTTTGTAGGGTTGTCGATGCAACAGAAACAAGTCATCTGAAAAGTTTTTTTTATATGAGAAAGTGGCAAATGCGCTTCCGCGGCGGTTCACCTGATGTTAACTAATAACCGCCCATGGACATTTGCAACACCCGTAGGGTTGCCATCGTTGCGTTGCCATCTTTAAATAAAGTGGGCCCCGGCTACCTCACTCACCAGACGAAACGTAGAAGTGTATCACTTCTACTTTACGCCGGTCTTCTGTGAAGTAGTGGTACTTACGAAAATGATATAATATGTAAAGCGTTAATAAAATGCAATTAAAATATGTTGTTGACATACTGTATTAATAAAAAAACATGAAAACATTCCGTGACGTGGTTTGCATAAATTATCTTCCGCTATCAATAATCGCTGTAGTTCTTACCTTTACAATAATATATTTATTTAATCATATATATCATAATCTATATATATAAGAGATTTCCACCGATTGACTCATCAGGATATCTCTGGAACCATAAGGAGTAGAGACTTGAAATTTGGTAGGAATATTACTTTCGCCTAGTATAAGTCAGCTAAGAACAGATTTTACGAAATTCCACAAAACATCGTTTGCCGGATCAGCTATTATCGATATATTATAATTACATAATAATATACAATTGGGATTCCCAATTTCCGTATTTTCGAGTATTAAAGTTTCTATTGAAAGTTGTTATCTAATAACATTTTATGACATTAACCGAAAGTTATGATACAGTATAAATTTCTGTTTTCAAAAACTTTCGTTAGAAATTTTTTTAACAACCGGTATTAGGATAGGACTTTGGTTTTAATGATTTTTAAAAAGAAGCGTAATACAAATGATTTATATTTATACTCAGCCGTTTTCGAAACCTAAATAAATACCGCACTACCTTTGTTCCTTAGAAAGATATTATTTACTTTAATATTGCTGTATGAGTTTTTTAAGCAGCGCGCTAACTTTTTACCCACGACAATAAATCCCAAAATCTCCACCTTCAACACGGGTAACCGACAATGCATTATAATAATGACCATATTTGACGAACACAATGGGGTAGTGAGTAGCATAGCCAGAGGGTGTGGGTTCGATCCCCATTGCTGGTAAAATATTGTGTGACGAACACAGTGTTTTTCTAGTGTCTAAGTGTTTGTATATGTATAATCTGTATTTATTTACAAAAGAAAAGTATGTTTTAGTACCTTTATCTAGTACCCATAGTACACGCTTTGTTTAGATTGGGACTAGAGAACGTTGTATAAAAATGTCCCAAAATTATTTTTAACAATAACTCACCAAGCAGGATCTCTACGGTGCATTCGCTCATGTAGTCATGGCAATCGAAGACTCCGCTTTCCTTCTTCAGCTTATCAACAACGGCCCGAGAGTTGGCGTTGAAAAGGTCGATGAAACTCTTCAACACGTTCAAGTGGAAAGTTGGCGCTATCAGTTTGCGATGCGAACGCCATTTTTGTCCTAAAGAAACGAATTCAACATCAAAATAACATTCGCTACCATCAAGAGTCAAGTAACCTTTTGTTGTTACTAAGATGAAAAATGTAATTAATGTAACTGACGCTTAAAATAGAAGTTGAATCTCAATTCAAATTATCTAACTCCTTTACAAGTGCTCTACACTGAAAATTTGCGGAAAATACTTCTAGTTCATATTTCATCAACCTTCTTGTTCTTTTATGAAAATAAGGAAGTGAGTCTTTGTTAATCCACGCACATAAAGCACTCGCAAGGTTTTGAAGCTAAACTTCTTTCCTTAGCGGGATGGAGAGGAAAACTTTATAAGATATTATTACCGTCTGCCATTAAAGTGCTCTTATATAGAACATAATTTGTGCTGAATACATGGACTGCATTCTCTCGCATTATGTGATCTCTTTTTTAATATGATCACGCCATACTGAGCTAATTAATCTATTTTGAATGACTTACCGTAGAGAAAAACTTAATTTTTTAACTAAATTATGTTCTGATCTGATTGATACAGATTTATATATAATAAAATACCTGAAATAAATAGGTAACATAATAATAAAAGATGGAGTAGTTAAGGAATCATTAAGTTATATGTATATTAAGACTGCTGGAAATAGGATCAGAGATCATTTCATAAAATATGTTAACACACATTAAAAGTAAAAATTTTAAAATATATCCACTATCTAACACTTTAGGTATTAATTTGTAAAAATACTATAACATCTATAAATATTAATTGTACCCCAGTTTAGCCGTTTCATTATTCTGTTAATAATGTGTCACCAAAGTTTCAAGGATTTCAAATCTATAAATATCTTTAAGCCGCGAATCTAAATCTATATCACTATCACTCCATAGTATAAAACAAAGTCGTCCCGCTGTCTGTCTGTCCCTATGTATGTTTAGATCTTTAAACTACGCAACGGATCTTAATGCGTTTTTTTTACTAGATAGCGATTCAAACCGGGGCGGGTCGCTAGTATCTTACATCTTTCATTGTAAATTTATATGTATAACACATTGCACCCGTGCGAAACCGGGGTGGGTCGCTAGTATCTGACATCTGTCATTGTAAATTAGCTGTTAGAATCTTCATTTTACCTGTACTGATGAGGAGACCGTCACCGAGCCACGGCTTGAAGAATCTGTAGTCATCTGCTTTGTCGATATGCACGTGGCTACTCAGGATCAACTCGACGTCCCGAGGGTCGTACAGGAACACGATGAGCCTCGGTCCGATCCAGATCTTCACCACGGACTCATTGTCATAGGGAACGCTCTTTTGTACGATATTCCTGAAGATTTCTGATGACAAAGAAAATTCGGCATCAACGCTCGCACAGAATGTTACCAGAGTGATTCATGTATAACATGTCGATTAAAAAATCCAATGCCGATGAATAACTGCACGGTAAAAGGTCATATCGGCAAGCGTTTATACGTGAACAATATAGCGATCTTTGTGGAAGAAAAAACACGAAAAAACCTTTCTTCTTTAATATTTACCGCGCGTTAATTTATAGCATGAAGAGTTAACTTTAAAGTTAAATTACAACATTTCACGGTGATACACATCATTAATGCTACGAGGTCATATTATTGTGCTACGCAATTATTTACAATAAACATCCAAAAAAAAACAGCAAAATGTTTTAATGATAGGATAGTGTTTTGCTGCTAAAATAGCATATTTCTTTATTACTTATTGATATTTGAAGATGTATTGAATTGACTATTATTTTATTTTGGCAGTAGCTTATTATTTTATTCAGTTATTGGAAAATAAAAATGTTTAATAAATATACATTTTAATGTAAAAATTACATTCCAGTCTATAATGATATGCAAAATCCATTATTCCTAATCACTTTATATATACTTGGACTGTTATTTATAGAAGTTGTTTAAGTGAATAAACAATGAATGAATATATTTATTTATAAGGTAATAAATTGATCGTAACATATCCAAGTATTCTATTATACATTGTTTAACATTACTACTTAATCCTTTTGACTAAGAAAATTATAATAACAAAAGGAACATATTACAGCACACATTTTTGAATTTATTTGGCGGGTAAAACTTTTTTATTTATTATGAAGCATACAAATAAATTAGAAATAGAATTTAGAGAAGAAACTCACCGTCTGAACCTCCAGTGAACTCCAAGGCATTGCCCAGCAAAGGTAGGCCGGGTGGCCCATTGATTTTTTCAGCCAACTCATACATGTGCCTCCTGGACATCCTCCAGTAAGTGTACCAGAGAATCAGGGCTGGTACCAGGAGCACATAGAACATGTTCGTCGCAGCCCACGTGCTGCTTTGGACCACATTTTCTGCAGCCGCGTAGCTCATTTTCTGTTTGAAAACAATATTTATGAAGCTCGAAGTTAACTAGTTAATTCATTATTGAAAAAACATATCGTTGCAAAACGTGTTATTAAATTCATTCTGCCATATTTTATTATATACTGCAACGCGACAAATCTATTGTCTTTTACCATTACCCTTTTACTATCTGACATTTATGGTATGGGTACCGCACTTTACCACCAAAAGGGAACAATATTTTTTCTCACTCTCCTCAAATTAATTCCAATACTTTCATAATGTTGAACCACTGGTATATTTGAATGATATAAGTCAACACTTCATCATTATTTTTTAAATCATTAATCAAAAAAGTACGATACGATATAATGTTGAAATAAAATTGAAAAATCTATGATCACAAATCTGCCGCGCGATAATCTTCCACCAGCAAATTACGTTATCCTTGTCCCCGAAACGTTCTATGGAAACACAACTACCGCAAATGATCGACGAAATTCCTACCTTGGAAATGACTCAGCTCCTGCGAGAGCCGACACAGAATGATACGAACCAAGTAGATCTTTCTATTTTAAGGGTTGCCAAGCACGGTCAAGTGCGGACTATTTAAATGACTCCAGCGCGCCCGTCTATATACACGCTCGTGACGTCACAACACGACGCGCTCCGAAGTCCGTACTTAGCGAATTGTTATGTAAATGACTAGAACTTTTGCATTAGTTATTGGTACGCAGAGTAATCAAATTTTTACCTATCACAATGATCGCGAAATAATATTTAATTCATTTACAATAACATTAAATTAATAAAATCGAATACGTTTTATGAGATCGCTATCATTTGACGTACGTCTTCGATGCAGTTAGATGAATTTGTGAAGACTGAGCAAGATTCACGTCTGGGGTTTTAAAATTCGAACAGCATTGTTTGTCTCTGTCCAACGCAAGAGGGTCAGGTACATGGTTTTTTAATGATATAAAACTCGCGCAAAATCAAATAAATAAAAATATTCGCGCCAATATTTTACCGTGGTAGAACAGCTTCTGTTGCATGACTGAGCAGGCTCGTCCGGTGAAGTAGGAAGTACCACGGCTTTACAGAAAACTGGCATGAAGTGGAAGTTATTTTACTTTTGTTTTTGCAATTAGGAAGGTTAGGCAGCTATCAGACATCGACACTGCCAGACTTGTTTACTTCAGTTATTTTCACAGCATCTTGTCGTACGGCATTTTGTTGTGGGGTAGTGCATCTGATATAAATTCAATAGTTATTCTTCAAAAAAGAGCTGTCCGAGCAATTAAAACATCGGAGCCCGGAATACAAACGGAGATCTTTTTAAAGAGATTAATATACTCACTGTTGCGTCTCAATATATTTATTGTAATATTTTGTATGTTAAACATAATATTAATAATTATCTAAAGAATAGTGACAGACATAAACTAAATACTAGAAATAAGGACAAACTAACTACGCCATTGTTTCGCCTACAAAAAGTAAACAGGTCGTTCATGGGGCTAAGTGTGCGCATGTATAATAAAATACCACAGTCGATATTAAGTCTGCCACTTGATGAATTTAAACGAAAAATTAAAAGTAAACTTATGGCTAAAGCCTATTATACTATTGCCGATTATCTTGACGACGCCAATGTGTGGGGTTAATACTGTTGATACTCACGTAGGCTAAAACAAGACTATTGTATTGTACTATTATATTACAGATATTTTATTATTTTATTATTATTACTTACGCGTATCATCTGGCGAGTGAAGTAACCGGGGCTCCACTTTGTGGGGTTGCAGACGCGTGGCCATAAACAATGTGGGCCTAACTTACCTCACTAATCAGTTGAAAAGCGAAAGGGTAACACTTTAAAAACATATGGAAAATCATTTATGGATTCTCCTTCACCGGATCGAGGGAGGGGCGGCGGTATGTGGAAGTCCCGGTAATAAGGGGGCCCACTAAAAACCCACGTTGCACCTGTCTGTCGTATAAGCCGGTGACACGGGAACGCGAAGGCGCAATCTTCCGCGACTCTGGCTCGACTATGGCCATATTGGGTCTCCTGATCTCGTGTTCTAAGTCACCCAGTCCGGCTAAACAGTGCTGTGCCGGTGCAACTAGAACAGCACCACACCCGACCCCACTTGCAGCAGCACGAGACCACTTCGTGCTGCTGCCCATCCGTGTCCTCTTTTAGTCGCCTTTTACGACAGGCAGGGGATACCTTAGCCCTATTCTATGAGCCCGGGACTACAGAGCTGAGACACCCCATGCCTTAAGCGGTCTCGCTATCAGGGGGGAAGATTGCGCGTGCAGGTTAGCCACTTGGACCCTGGTCTCCAGCGGCGGATATACTGGGTGGCAGTTGCCTCCCTTTGCCTCTCCGCGGCCTCCTTCCTGTCTGTGTACCTAGTATATGTTTGCCGCATTCGCCGGCGTGTGTAATGTGTTTTTCTGAGTTTCCGGAGTCGCTTTATTCTTTCGACGGCACTGGTCGTCTCGTCGCAAGGGAAATCGAGGACGTGTCGTGGTCTAAGCGACTTGCGCCGGAACGTACCTAGCGGTAGGGGTCTATAGGTGACGGCGCCTTTTTTTTGGTATCGGGGGGAAATGTTCGAAAGATACCCTGTCACTTTACATGACTGGGTTATGTGGGGTTCTTACCCACTAAAACCCCCTCGGTGGCCGCCGTCCGTAAATTTGGAGGGACTCCGGGATCTCCCATGGAACGCACCGGTGTACCTCGGTACTACGCCTGAGCACGCCTCGGAGAAGGATAAACCTTCTTCGATTCCCTCACCCTCTTGCAGCAGCACGAGACCACTTCGTGCTGCTGCCCATCCGTGTCCCCTTTTAGTCACCTTTTACGACAGGCAGGGGATACCTTAGCCCTATTCTATGAGCCCGGGACTTCAGGGCTACGGGAGCGGCTCGTCCGTTTCTACCATCCGGGTGCCTTCGTCTCCGAGCGGGATCGGCCCTCTCCCGGTCCCGCTAAGCGATCTCCTTCTGGAGCATAACGTCTTCGCAGAAGGAGACCAGTGCCGTCCAAGCAGATTTATCCATCAGTGCAGCCGCCACTGAAACTGGTGGAGAAAGGTCCTGCCCGATCTTTTGGACCAGGATCCGACGCTCTATTGGTGACGGCACCTACGACTAGCGGATTGGGAGATTCCCTTATCGTAATATATTTTTTATACAGCAGAAACTGTTATGGAAGTTGTTGGTGTTCTGCCACAGTCTACATAAATGCGATAATGCATCTAAAAGAGTTGCAGGCCGTAATGGCACTTTTTTGGCGCTTTTTATCAATGTACATAGAAAACGTAAATCGTTTTGCTATGTACATTCTTATCTTAGCAAAACATACTATGCTAAGAAAGATAAAAAGCGCAACATTAATGGAATCGTACCCGCGAAAAGTTACAATTACAATAATCATACTTTTTTATCGATACAATTCGTGTGAAACATCAGATGCTCCACAATTATCTACATACATCCAATGCAGCTTAATAACAGAACAGGCATGATTTAGTCAATTACTTTATGTTAGTTTATAGTAATAGATTAATGGTTGCAATATGCCAATAGATCTGCAATCCAACTATTTATAAATGTAAATATCGCCTTTACAAATACATCATTAAAATAAGCCTTATTATTTTAGCTCCACGTCTACCTAACCGGCCAATTCAGCCAATCATAAATACTCCGCACTTACATTGTTTTCTTTTTTTGGAACAGATAAAAAATATGGTAATTTTATTGCTCTGTATTATTAAATTATTTCCTAAAATCTTATCAAAGTTATTGTAGTGTATTTTCGTCGTTTCATTGTTATTTTTTAGGGTTCCGTACCCATAGAGTAAAACGGGACCCTATTACTAAGACTCCGCTGTCTTTCTGTCTGTCTGTCTATCTGTTTGTCTGTCCGTCTGTGACCAGGCTGTATCTCATGAACCGTGATAGTAAGACAGTTCAAATTTTCACAGATAATATATTTCTGTTGCCGATATAACAAAAAATAGTAAAAAACAGAATAAAATATTTTTTTTATGTGAAAAGTTGCCAAACGAGCAGACGGTTCAGCTGATGTTAAGTGAATACCGCCGCCCATGGACATCTGCTACACCCGAGGGTTCTAGATGCGTTGGCAACCTTGTGAAAATTGGGCTCCGGCCACCTCACTCACCAGACGAAACTCGAGAGTATTATACTTCCACTTGTCGCCGGTCTTCTGTGAGGTCGTGGTACTTACCCGGACGAGCCTGCCCATTCGTGCAACAGACGAGACTGCTGCGTGGCTCTACCATCGTAGTATATTTAAGGGAGCTCGCATACAAAAACATGATTTTTTGCCGTTTTTATAGATATGTACGGAACACTTCGCGTCTGACACGCACTGGCCGGTTTTTATGAAATGTAAGCGGACAAAGTTGCCGAAGGACGTTCTTTAGTAAAAGGTACCAGAATAAAGTGTCATAGAGCTATTTAAGGTGTTATTAAAGATACGTTTTGAAATATTGATTCACGACTACATCGATTACACGTTTGTATAATTCTATTTATTTGATCTACGTCTTCGATCGGATAACTATGCGGAAGAAGAAGAACTTCATAGGAAGATCTATATTTCTATCCCTTTTAGCGCCATAGAGTTTATTTGTGATATACAGGTATCTGTATTACAAATCAAATATGGTTTTAATAACAAAAAGTACCATACTCTATATTTACCCGCCCATCATCAAGGCTAGGACGATTTTTATTAGTAGATATTTATATGCCTCGAAACGACGGGTTGAAAAAGATTTCCAGAAATTTCCCGAGCTATCGCTGACGATTGCGTATATAGAAAAACGAGTCGATTTACAGCCAAGTTCCTCAATATCATTCTTCGGGAGTCTTTCTCGTCGCAACATACATCTACGAGCATACAAAATGTCTCTAGTCTT